AAGATGTAGCGAAATATAATGTTTTACATATAATAATTTTAATATAATATCGCAATAGGTTTTTATATGAAATTAAACTTATTCATCACAACCTTTTGCTACTACACTCAGATTTAGAAATTCTTCTGTTGTTTATTTTAAAAATATAATCTTTCGAAGAATACACGGTCCAATCAAGAAATTAAAACTAATAATTGGAGTATCAGAGTAGCGTGTTATATTATCTATACAAAGCAAACTTCTAAGCATATCTAAAATATATTTAATACAGTAAGATCTTAGAAAGAATACTAAAGATGGTCAGACAATATAAGACTTGAAATATCTTGGTAGAAAGATAGTAGTGACAGAAAGAAGTGGAAGAAGATTGCATCTGTAGCCAAGAATCTTAAAGGATCTGTAGAACTGGATGATGATGATGATAATATTTAATATCAATTTATATTGTTAAATAACTAAGAATGAGTTATTTCGCTATCAATGATTAAAAAGTCATTGATAAAAATTATTTTAAGACCAAGTTTTATGCCTGATTTGCGAGTTAAAAACTTTTCTATTAAGAAAGATAATTTTAAATTAAAGAAATATAATATTTAGAATAATAAAACTTATTTATAGAAATGATTTATAAAATAAATTAATAAAAAAAACATTAATTTATACAGATTTATACGAAGTAATTAATATTAAAGAGAAGAAGACGATGATACCTAAGTATATAAAGTCTTATTCATTTGTAGAAATTCAATATGTAGATTTTAATAATTTTATTAATTCTATATTCTATGATTATTTATTTTAAGAATAAACATGAATATTACATTTTAATTACAAACGGTAATTATAAATTTAAGCTGTCTTTTAATTAAAGAGCAGGCACAATTCTAGCAATAAACATAAGTTTAATACGAAAGTTAAGTTCAAAAAGTGCTTTAGATGAATAAAATTGTACATAATATCATTCAATTTCTGTGAAAGATAGTCCTATAAATAATAATTTATAACTTATTTATTTTTTAAATTATATTTAGAATATTAATATAATATATATATTCTGTAAAAGCATTATTTTAGTATTTACTCTGTAAAGCACATTTAAGAATGTATTTTTCATCGCTAATTATGAAAATAATTTTTATAATTAATGAAAAATTATGTTATTTCGTATACATTTTTATTAAAAATTAATTCAAAATTAACAAGATATAGTCAAAGAAATGAAGAAAAAAAAAGGAATAAATGATATTGGTGCTGACATTGATTTTTGCATCACCGTGATGATGTCTCTTTGGTCCAAATGTATAAAGACAAGTGTCTGGGCATCCCTCTACCTCAAGGGCACTTCATATTTATATAAATGATCGATATCTTTGACTCGTGTTTCTATCTAAAACATTATAGAAACGATACAGAGGAGAAAATCATACTTTATACAAACACAAATTTAAAATTTTATACGATAGATTCTGACTATAGAAAGAAAAGCAATAACGGAATTTAAATAATTAAATCTTTAAACAAATTAGATCTAATCATTAATATGTTTACAAGAAATTAATTTATGTAATGATCTTTTTTTTCTTCATATTTTAAACATATATAATTAGTTTCTAAGCAAACTAATTGCAATAAAAAAAAGACAAAAAAAAAGAAGAAGAGAAAAATAGAATTAGTTCGATCTAGAACATCAAGAAATCGACTTTTAATTACGATTCATCCTCTTACGGATATCCGTCACCTTGGCGGTCTACAGATTTCCGGATCGTTTCGGAAGTCATTACCTGTTTCGGAAATCCCTATGATTCTTATGGAATCTGAGTGAGTTCACGACTTTCGTTTAACTTTATACTATAAAATAGAGCATTACAGATGTTATTTAATGTATTAAAATAACGCTAACATAAACTATAACTAATCATAAAGTATACTAAGTGTTCTAATACAGTAGATCCCCCCTATAACACTGTAGATAATTCCGTGTTATATGAATTCCATGTTGTACGAGTCACTTAGATTTTACAAATACGTGAGCCGTTTACAGCCCAGCATACGTATTTGTAAAATCTAAGTGACTCGTACAACATGGAATTCATATAAAACGGAATAATCAACAGTGTTATAGGGGGGTCGACTGAGTAGTAGTCTATATATATATAAGCCTACATAAAAATAACATTATAATTTAATAATACGTATAAATCGGTTTAAATATAAGATATTAACATTAAAGTCATATTTCTCTTTAAAAATTAAATTTTACTAAGAAAGTTTAACTTGTTTATTGATATAAAATAAGTTTAAACTTACTTAATCGTATATAGGCCTACAGTCTTTTATAACTAAATTATATCGTGTATTTTTTTTTAAAATATTACACGTAATAAAAAATAAAACAAAGAGATTTTTAAACTAAACTTAGAAAAAAATTAATTTTAATTTGAATCGAATATAACTTTTCTTTTTTTTTTTTTTTACGTTTTCTCTTCCGACTCTTGCGGCTGAGGATCGATTATATCAAAACGTTCTCTAGAAATAACAAAAGTAATTAAAAAAAAGAAGAAATATTTTTAAGAGATCGGAAAGAACATGACAGCTTTTGAGACAGACATCATTAAAAAAAATTGACAAATCTAAGTCTGTTATAAATGACATCTGCTTGACAATATCAATCCTGAATTATCTAAAGACCGAAGAATAGATCGAAAACTAAAATTTTTTTTTAAACTTCTCCCCCCTTTTTTTTAATGTAAAGATTAAACATTTCAAAATTGATAGATATAATATTATACAACTAAAATTTTTTTTTTTAAATGTGTATATAAATCTGAGAGAAAGATATATAAAATGTTCTTTTATATCCATCCCTCTGATAGGATTTTGTTTGATTTATTTATAAACAACCTAACCACTACTTATATTTGATTTATAATATTCGAACAATAGCTATTAAATAAATAAATTAATTCAAAAATAAGATTAATACTTAATATTAAAAATTAAAATAATAAAGGACTAAATTATACTTTAATTGTTGAGTTTATTAAATGTTTTTCTATATTATATGTATGGGGTGATCCATAAGTCGGTTTATCAATACTGAATTGCAGTCGTGTTCAAATATCTAATAGTGTTTTCATTAATTTTGTACGTCGTCCTGAACTTAGTTTATCATTTAAACTACATAAAATAAAGCACGGTTAACTGATTTTTGGTCATCCTTTATCGATATTATTTACACTAATTAAAATAATAATCTATGAATATTTAATTTAGATTTATTAATATTCTCATCATTTTTTCGATCGTTTTCACGTAAAGTATTATGTACTAATCGTGTATTCTTTATATAATTTTATCGAAAATATTAAAAATTTATACGTAAAATATAAATTCTTCTATAATTTCATTTATTTTATAGAATCATACGCTTCGTGTGATATATAATTCACGGCTTTTAAATAATTATTATAGCAGAGTGCTATAACAGTTAGACACGTAATGTTAACATAATAATAATAATAATAATAAAACAATTAGGAATAAATTCGATAAAAAGGAATAATATTAAAACTATATATATTTAAATTCTAATTGTTTATAAGCTATTGAATCTCATTATTAAATTTTAATAAACATGGACCAATCATTATCCCCAGGGAACACAATCATCTCAGCGTAACACTCATTTGGCGAGCGTTTGTGTGTTTCGCCGATAGTAGCCTATCTCAGTCATAAGTTTTTAAAGTTACTGCCGTTTACAAGATATACGAGGTGTTGTGTTCCGTACCATTACCGACGCAAAGGGAGCCCTGGCTACAGATAGCTTCCCACGTCTACATAAATCCTGATAATCCCCCCGTGTCTGAGGCGCTTACCACTACCTGCGTTGCTGATTCGTGGCTGGACCTTGGCCATCGATCAACTTGATTCGTCTGAACTGTCCATTCCTACCCCATTCTCATTGTTTCAATGTACTTAGAGATTGTCTTTTGCCGGCTATACCTATTACGTAACTCGCAACCTGTACCTATATTATTTTCTATACTTTTCGGTAATCTGTTTTATAGCCTAACAATATACAAAGCCGTTCAGAGTACTTCGTAAAGAACCATATTTTATTAATAAATAATAATCGTGTGATAAGAAAAAACAAAAAAACTAAAATGCCAGTAAGTTAAGTAGTAAATTTATGCTTTTATAAAAGAATAAATTCTAAAATATATCTTCAAACAATGTTATAACTTAGAACTAATTGAAGGAAAGTCTAACTTCTCTAATGTTCGTTCCGACAATTTAATTACAATTTTCTTCCCTTAAAATAAGTATAAAGGAAAAAATAATTAATATTATATTTAAAAGGTATGTTATATTGTTAACTAAATCCTTAAATAACTAAGATAAACTAAAAATATAGGCTACATCCATATTTAAGCGGGTTATATAACAATTAGACCAACAATATCCCATTGCAGGGAAACATGATAAGAATTCTAATTTTTAATTTGTAAAGGAAATTAGAATCATGATATAAATACCATTTTAAAAATATATAATAGTATTTTATTAAATTAAAGATTAACTATAAGTAATTAGTTCTTTATTGGTAGACTATTTGTAAAGATGGAAAATAATTAAATTATATTTATTTATTACTTAATTATCTTTTAATTTATTTAAGAAAATTTAAATTACTTTTAAAGAGTAAAAAATATAAAAATAACATTGATTATCTTCTTTTTAAAATTTGATTTTCTAACGTATTGAAGATTAAAATTGTTTATTTGCATATTAGAAATGCAGCACATTAAGAAATTGTGATAAAATGTGGCCGAAAATTATAAAATAAAATAAAAACAAAAGTTAATAATAAAAGTTAAGTTGAAAAATAAACTTCTTAAACTTTTTATCGACTGATATAAGAATTTGTTAAAATCCGATATAAATGTTTCAAGTGGAACACAATGGGGGAAGAAAGAGAAAAGAAAAAAAATAAAGTTGGAATTACGAAAAAACTATTTCCATTGCTTTTTATTAATCCAATGTGTTGCTTAAAAAATGGCGAATCGGCGAGCAAACTCTACACAAATAATTAATAGAAAAGCGGCGGCCAAGAATGGATGCTAATCAAATGGCCGACAGTCAAACAGAGAGGGCACGTAACAACCTCGGCCACGCCTACTTCTCATCTGGTAACGCCTATTGGTGGAAAAAGCACGTGATGGGAGGAACTCGTGTCAATCACCTGTTGGTTGAGCTGCCAACCATTCCCAAGGGGAGGTGTCCGTAGGGAGGTGCCTGTTACTCGTGCTCATGACTGAACACAAAAGTGTACCCAGTGAGGTTTCCTGCTGTCAATTCGACATTTTGCTATAAGCGCGACTGTTCGCATCCATCTAACGTTCATGGTGTTCATATATACTACAAACAGTTCGCCGATGGATTCAATGTGACCCTGGCTTTTTGCCAATCACGTGATATCGGCCGACGTCTAAAGGTCACTCATGTACTATCTGTCACAAAGGCAGACAGTTTTCTGGTCTTAACGTGTCGTCTGCTATGGTTCCAATGTTTGGTCTCCAAGAGACGGGGCTACAACCTCGTGGCCCCATGGCGAGTATGAAGGAGGAACCACTGAGTACAGCCCAATTGGGAGCAGTCAGGAGTGGATGGATGCAGCCGGGCCTGATCGACCAAGCAGCTACCAGGTAGGTGGACAGTACTTTACATAGTCCCTACGGTAAATCCCTTGGGACCGATTTGGGATCTATTAATCAGTAATTTCATCAAACCCATTTAAAGCTTCAAACGTCGTCTGAGCTTTTACACTGAGTGGACACGTGGCCGAGGGTAACTGATAGTGTTATCTATGTTCGGTAGGCCGTTTTTATATTCTAACCTATTACTATATCAGCAGCAAAGTCTCAACTGGGAATGCTCTAAATTTTCCTCCTGAGATAAATGATCCAATTAGTAGGTCAAATAAATTAATAATAATAAAAAAATACTTGGAATAATTTACTATTCTAGAAAAAAAACGAAAGAAATATATAAACGTTAAATCCTATGCTATATTTAATTTTATACGATTATTTTTATACTTTTATTTTATTAAATCGAATTTTCTTCTTATCAAAATAATTCGATACCTTCGTAATTTATTCTGAAAGAAATTTAATTAAACTTTTAAAGAACTTAACACGATTAGGCTAATTCTTTTATTTATCTACTTTAAAAGGATTTTTCTACAAAATAGAAAATATTAAACACATTTTTAATGTTACAATTCGTTTAATTTAATACGTTTTCAGCATTTTTTTAACGCGTTATAATTGTATAATTAATCTAAATTATAGATTAAGAACTTTATAATAATTGATAAATTAAAATAAAAAAGAAAACTTATTTTTAAATACATATTTTTTTTCCTCCCAAGTTTAGAAAAATCGTCCATTTTTAAATATCTTTTTTTTAATTTAATTGTTAAATTAAATTAACGTAAAAAAAATTATATTTGTAATCTCTTCCCGAATGTGTTTTATTTAAAAGATTTCTTCGAAATGAATTCGTTTAAATCGAAAATGTTGAATTAGACCTAATTAATGCTTTAAAAGCATTATTATTAGGTTAAGTGCCAAAAAATCTAAGAAACGAAATTAAAAGAAAAATGAATTGATTTCCGGCGTGTAGCACATTAATGGAATTATCTTTCATCCAAGATAATTAGTTGAACTTAGTAGCGGTGGAAAAACGAGGAAAAAAAAAATTATTTTTGGGTATCGGTAATTCAAAGTAAATCATTATATATATATATATATATAATAAAAAAATGCTTCAATTACGATTCGATTTAAGTAGTTAAGTTTTTAAAAGAAATTTCTACTTATGCTTTATCAGTGATTTAATAAGAATTTCCTGAAAATTAATTTATTTTTATTCAATTTTTATGTTTTATTTTATTACATCGTCTAGTTTTAATAAATTCTTCTATACATTTTGGAATAAAAATAGCCGTAATACAGTATCGAAAATTGTATTAGGCTATACAATGACTATTTTTTACTATGTAGGCTACAATATAACACCACTACGAATGTTTTAATATGATTTAAGTATGAATGTTTAAAGGATTGCCAACGGTCTTACTATAAAGATGTTCTTTTAATGCAACTAAATCATTTTAAAAACCTTGCATTTCTGTATACAAAATACGACCAGAAGATGTAGCGAAATATAATGTTTTACATATAATAATTTTAATATAATATCGCAATAGGTTTTTATATGAAATTAAATAAAATAGAAGGTCTATTTTTCTTTTTATATAAGATTCATTATATGAATGTTTACTTAAAATTTACCTTAAAAACCGTGTGCGTATATTAGATAAATGTGCTGTACTATATAGTACATTTGAAAATAGGCCTATGTATATAAGATATATGTATTCCATATGTAAAAATATGTATTTATGTGGATATGCTAATCTATAAAGATAGGAGTGAACATACATTAAGCCTACAGTCTTCCTATTTGCAACAGTAAATTGTAAAACCTTATTGAGAAAGTTAAATAAGAATAAAAACTTAAAATTTTGTACAAGTTCATGTATAAGTTGCAAGTTTCGTGTCTTAAATTAGCGACTTTATTTAGACTACTGTTTAGTTTTTTTTTGTGTGTAAAGTCTAATAACAATTAGTTATATTGCTCAATATTTATGTTTAAAAAAATCTATTATAATATAATATTATTAAAATAATCAAGAAAAGTAAATTTGTTAGCTACTTATAAACGAAAAGAAACTTCTTCTTAGATGATCAAACCACCAAAGATTACTCACGTGTTTGCATTGATTGGATTTATATTGATCAAGCATAAATCTAATTCAGAAAATTGAAACGAAAAAAAGAAAACTATTTTCCGACAATTTTACGCAATGAAACGATGGACAGGATGTCACAGAAAGTGCGATACAGATCAATTTGAAGCGAACGTGTTAAGAAATATTAGGTTACATCGCTTCCAAGAACGTGGTGTGAATCAAGTATTAGACCCGTTGACCCTAGCTTTTAGTCTTTTACAATAGCTAAAGTAAAAATGATTTTCTACTAAATCTAAACTATAATAGATATAAATTTAACTGGTATTACTTTTCTTACATAATATTATAATATTTAATACTAAATTAAACATGTAATCCTATAATTCGCTTTATGTATTTTTAGCTTTCTAAATTAATCCCATATCTAAAGTTATATTACTTAATATTATTCTTTTATAATATTTTAATATACTACCGAAAGCATTGTTTGTTTTTTTTCAGATAAAATAATAATTTTAAAATACTACTTTCAACATTAAATTTTGACATTTTGTTATGTTCGAGTGCCAAATTCTCTTCTTCTTCTTCTTTTTTTTAAAATTAAATGCATATACTTTATGTTTTTCAATAAAATATATAAAATTGTTCACATTTTTTATTCATTAATTTAGATTCTATATTTAGATCTCCATAGAACAAATGGACATGCCTGGCATTTTTATTAAAGTCATAAATCTTCTTCAGAACGTCTATAGATAGATAAATGTGTACAAAAAAGTATTTTTATTTTGCTATATTACAATTTTTCTGATTTGAAACACTATATACAATCATTAAATTTTCAAAATATACAAGAAAAATATCTAATAAAATAATAAGAAATAAATATAATATCATATTAAAATATAATATAAGAGGAGAGAACAATTAAGAAAACCTTTTGATGTAAAGATTAAATATATTACTTTTCTAATTTT